AATGTGAGAACAGGCGTTACATAAATGTGAAGCAGTTAGTAAATGTGAGAGTAGTTGTCGTAAATGTGAGCAGTTAGTAAATGTGAGAGTAGTTGAATGTATATGAAGAGCAGATTAGTGAAGCAGTTAAGTAAATGTGACGTGGTTAGTAAATGTGAAGAGTGTGAGTTAGTAAATAGAAGATAGAAACGAAAGTTAGTAAATGTATGAATAGTAGTTAGTAAATGTGAGAAGTAGTTAAAGTAAATGTGAGAGTAGTTAAGTAAATGTATGAGAGAAGTAGTTAAGTAAACGGTTAAGTAAACGTGAGTTGAATGCGAGTAAATGTGAGAGCAGTTAGTAAAGTGTGAAAGTAGTTAATAAACGTGAGACGGTTTAGTAAAGTGTGAGAGCAGTTAGTAAACGAAAATCGAGAGAGCAGTTAGTAAATGTGAGAAGCGGTTAGTAAATGTGAGAGCAGTTAGTAAATGTGAGAGAGTAGTTGAGTAGTAAATGTGAGAGCAGTTAGTAAATGTGAGAAGCGGTAGTAAATGTATGAGAAAGTGGAGTTAGTAAACGTGAGAAGCAGTTAGTAAATGTGAAAGTGGTTGGTAAATGAGAAACGGTTAAGTAAATGTGAGAGTAGTTAGTAAACGTGGAGAGGCAGTTAGTAAATGTGGAGAGTAGTTAGTAAACGTGAGAAGAAGTTATGTAAATGTGAGAAACAGTTAAGTAAATGTGAGAGAGTAGTTAGTAAATGTGAGAGAGCAGTTAGTAAATGTGAGAGAGTAGTTAGTAAATGTGAGAGCAGTTAGTAAATGTGAGAGCAGTTAGTAAATGTGAGAGAGTAGTTAGTAAATGTGAGAGCAGTTAGTAAATGTGAGAGTAGTTAGTAAATGTGAGAGTAGTTAGTAAATGTGAGAGTAGTTAGTAAATGTGAGAGAGCAGTTAGTAAATGTGAGAGAGTAGTTAGTAAATGTGAGAGAGTAGTTAGTAAATGTGAGAGGCAGTTAGTAAATGTGAGAGCAGTTAGTAAATGTGAGAGTAGTTAGTAAATGTGAGAAGTAGTTAGTAAATGTGAGAGCAGTTAGTAAAATGTGAGAATTGGAACGTAAGTAAAATGTGAAACGGTTAAGTAAATGTGAGAGAAGTTAGTTAAATGTAAATGTGAAATGAAGTGGTTAGTAAATGTGAGAGAGTAAAATGTAAGTAGTTAGTAAATATGTGAGAGTAGTTAGTAAATGTGAAAGTAGTTAGGTAAAGTGTGAGAGCAGTTAGTAAAGTGAGAGTAGTAGTTAGTAAATGTGAGAGTAGTTAGTAAATGTGAAGTGGATTAAATGTTAGTAAATGTAAAGGAATGGGTTAGTAGTGTAGAAGTATGTTAGTAAATGTGAGAGAGTGAGTTAGTAAGTAGTGAGAGCAGTTAGTAAATGTGAGAGAGTAGTTAGTTAAATGTGAGAGTAGTTAGTAAATGTGAGAGATATGAATTAGTAAATGTGAAAGTAGTGTAGTAAATGTGAGAAGTAGTTAGTAAATATGAGAAATGAGATAGTAAATGAGAGAAACAGTTAGTAAATGTGAAGAGTAGTTAGTAAATGTGAGAGTAGTTAGTAAATGTGAGAGAGCAGTTAGTAAATGTGAGAGAGCAGTTAGTAAATGTGAGAGAGCAGTTAGTAAATGTGAGAGAGCAGTTAGTAAATGTGAGAGAGCAGTTAGTAAATGTGAGAGTAAATGTGAGAAACAGTTAGTAAATGTGAGAGAGTAATTAGTAAATGTGAGAGTAGTTAGTAAATGTGAGAGAGCAGTTAGTAAATGTGAGAGTAGTTAGTAAATGTGAGAGAAGTTACTTCATGAGTAGGCAGTTAATAAATAGGTGAGCAGTTAGTATGTTGAAGAAAGCAATTTCCAAATGTTAGAGCAGTTGGTACATACATGAGCAGTTAGTGAGTGAGTGAGTCTGTAAATAATCGAGTCTGGACCAGACCATCTAGTGATCAACAGCATGAGCATCGATCTGCGCAATTGGAAACCGATGAGAGAGAGAGAGAGAGAGAGAGAGAGAGAGAAAGAGAGAGAGAGAGAGAGAGAGAGAGAGAGAACATCGACTGATCGACATCTGAAACGAGACAAATTTTTAAGCCAAGACTTAAGCTTTCATTTTGCTTAAATCTGCAATCCCTAATATCAAACTCATTTCGCACTGATGATCATCCATAAAGCCTCGCCGAGCTTCATATTCCACCTTAAGCATATAAAGACTGCTTCTCGGAAGATTGGAATTTTAGATAAAGCTTATCTTTATAGCCTGGGCGTGTTAGTTAACGTACCTTTATTGCAGATAGATACCAGGTTATTGCCGTGTGTTGGTTCGGCTGTGAAGACCGGGGATGACACATTATCGTATCTGCCATCAACAGATTCACCTTCGCACGTCAATAACATTTCAATGATGATAGTAATGCTAATAGTCCTCGTTAAAACAAATAAGATGAATGTTGGTTGAAGATTCGTCACACGCATAATGAACTGTAGACCTCCAGAAGTTTAAGTTTAAGTGACTAAGTGTCACTGCCAAACAGTTTGATTGTGATTCTTATTATTAGCATTGTTTATGTCATCATTGGTTATGTTTGTTGGTAGTCGTACGCAGAAACACATTTTTGTCAGAAAAGAGACAATTTCTATTTTAATTTTTTTATTTTTTGAATGTTTTATATTTATTTTTTTATTTATTTATTTTATTATTATTATTTTTATTTTTTTTATTTTTCTTTGGAAGTCGAATTGCCATGACCACATAAAGACAAACTCTCATGATCCCTTTTGTATCCAGGTTCTGTGTATATTGGGTGGACATTACCTTACCGTGTATTCTACCTAGGAACCCGTGAAGATCCGATATAGAATTGGTCTTCAGCAACCCATGCTTGTCATAAGAGGCGACTGATAGGATCGAGTGGTGAGACTCGCTGACTTGGCTGACACATGTCATTGTATCCTAATTGCATGGATCGATGCTCATGATGTTAATCACTGGATTGTCTGGTACAGACTCGATTATTTAATACCGCGGTCATATAGATGGAAAATTGCTGCGTGCGGCGTTAAACAACAAACAAACAATGGGACTTAGACTTTGTTTAAAGATGGATATGGTTACAATTATCTAAAAACAGGGGACGGCCTTGAACCATACCCGTCCAAAAATAATCGTGACATGTACATGTGTTGATTGGAGGTTGTCTATTTCGTATGTACATTTCTGCGTACATGTCCGGCTCGGAGTACATTAGGATCTCACACTGGGTACTTCACACCAAATGTCCCGAGGGAACAACGAACCTTTCTTTCCATTCGGAGTTATTCCCATTTACCAATACATTCGGATAATCATCGCTTCATTACAGAAACTCTACGATACTTATGCGAGATAGCCTAGTAACCAAAGAAGTGTTCGAATGATTTCATGGGCAAAAAATGCCGCTCTTGATCAGTCAAAAGATGTATTTTATTGTAAGGTAAAATGAAGATAGATCAAAGCTATCAGTATTTTGCACAGTTCAGAATCGAAAGGGACTTCAAACCCGCAATGTGAATAAATGACTATATGAAAGAGTTTTTACATGATTCAGTTTTCGGATCCTGATAGTCCAGAAATCCCAAATTTTAGTATCGTCAGGGCAGAGAACACACTCCGGCACAGCGATGACTTAACATAACATCACTGCCACAGGCTAATTTGCATATCACGTGACCGGACTTTTCTCTTGTTTGTAATCAAACGCGCATATTCATAATAAGAAGAGACTGGACTCACGAAAGCTTTTCGGCGCTGTCTTCATAATGTTTTATATTGTTACATATATATTCTTCCACAACTGCGACAGTAAGGTCTATGACAGTACATATTTAGATATCAAACTGGCTGCATCGTTTGCTCTCCATCAGCTTCGATGACAGCACGTGGAGCTGTACAGCCTATGTAAACAAAGGATCGCTACGCAAATCGAAATAGTGTTACATGTTTTTGGATATTTTCTCAGTGAAACTAAACCATTCTATTAAAGATGTTTAGTTAGATGTGTAGACTCGTCAAAAATAAAACAGTTAAAGTAATCTGTACATTATATTGAATGGACATTGCAAGATGTGACGAATCGCCACATTTTTCTGGCCTGTGGCAGAGATACTATGCTGGCTTGCCGCATGGAACTCTGGGTAGGAGAGTGGGTAGAGAACGTAGATACAGCCGGGCATGGTTGGTTGGGTAGTTGGTTTAACCCCGCACTCAGCAATATTCCAGGTATATGGCGGCGGTCTGTAAATAATCGAGTCTGGACCAGACAATCCAGTGATCAACAGCATGAGCATCGTTCTACGCAGCTGGGATACGATGACATGTGTCAACCAAGTCAGCGAGCCTGACCACCCGATCCCGTTAGTCGCCTCTTACGACAAGCATGAGTTACTGAGCTGGGCAAGGAAAGAAAAGTATACACCCATGTTTAATTGTGGCAATTAATTACCTAAGTATTAGAAATGGTTATGATTTAACGTTGATGTTTACTGAGGGAAAAAACTAGGGAACACCGCTTCAACGCAATATTACTCTATTCATTCTTAGGTTCTCACACACAGTACGATACAAAGCTTGTGAAGACACCTGCCAAAGAATAAAGGAACACTTGTGCTTTCATGTAGTCCCTTATTGGTTTAATTTCCCTTAGTATATATGATAATGGAAGCACAGTTCCGTTTCGGATGATATAAGTTTGAAGCATTTCGGGGACTGGTTTCAGCCTTGTAACATGTTGATAACTTTTGCAATTGGTTGGCCAATTCTAATCTCCAATCATATTCCTAATCTTGACTGCAATTTCTGTCAACAAAACCCTTGATTTGTTAACCAGGAACTTTGTGAATCCGAATATTTTCACTAAATTTGATGTTGACTATATGCTCTCCCAGAAGAACTACATGCTTAAAATCCTACTGACCAGTAATTATGTTGTCGTAAAAGGTAATCTAATAACTAGAAAGTAAAGGACAAGAGAGAAGGGTATGCTGTAGTTAATGAATGTTCTTGTATTCATATGATAGGGAAAAACACAAGCCAAGCTTAGTATATTGGAATAAAGGTAAAGCGTCATTTTAGATGAAACAAAGTTATGATATTAAAACTGCGACAGTAAGACCCCGTTGGTCAGAGAAACCTTTATTTTTGGTATTTTCACTGTACCAGTGAAATGATTTATATGTTGTACTATCTGATATTCCCGATTGTTTGAGTAATGATGTTACGTGAAAGGAATCCTTCTAGATTGACGGGATTCGATGTCTGATGATCAAGGTTTTAGTGTTTTCGGTTATTGAAACGCAGGTTCATATATACATAAAATAATAACATCAAATTCAATATAAATTTGTGATCTCTCAGGTTGACTTACTTCACGAAGCAAACAGTAAACGCATCCATTACCTTTAACGGTACATTATGTTAATTGGGCAAACCCACGTATGACTTTATTCGGGGACCGTTTCAAAACTACTTATTTGATAAGTATGGTTTCCTCTTAAGATAAATAAAAAAAATACTTTTCCTAACATACATACTTACTAACATGTAATTATAGACCCTGACAAAATTTCAGGCAGTTTAATCTTGTTTAACGAGAGAAAATAATTAAAAAACGATGCCGCTTTGGTACTTCCCCTGGCGGCTATACAGTTATTTCCCTGCGGCTATACATGTCAAAGGAAATATCCATCTCGATGCTTGAAATGTATGTCATTGTGTTGATCTGCTGACCATGGAGAGTGACGTTACCTGGCCGAATTACCAGCTGTCAAGCGGCCATTTGAACTCGCCGATAGGCTTAAACTATTTTGATTGACTGATATGGACAACGGTTGTCACCAAATTAATTACATTGTTAACCGCTTTCAGCTGATAACCGAGCATTAAACGGTAAATATCAGCTGAGATGATGCTGCAGGACCCAGGTGGTGACGTAGAGGGTCCAGCAATTCAGCAACTATTGTCTACATACTTATCGTGCTAGGCTATGACCTGTGACAAAAAATGCTTCATGTATATATTTTTTTTTAGCATTGATCATCGTGTCCGAGCGTGAAGATTGAGGGGACGAGAACCGAGATGTCACTTGTCAGTGACTTGACTTACATTACATGATCGCACAAAAAAGATAGAAATAGTAATTTTATATGTACGTTTGACAACTTTTATGAATGTTGTTGTTGATTTCATTCATTAGTTTATTCAATTTATTTCATGATTTCCTCGAAACATCGTTACTTTGCTCTTTGACAATGTTATTGTGGACCCGCTGCCGAAGCAGGTGTCCGAGAATCGTTGTTTTCAATAACATTGCGAAAAATAGTTTATAATTTTAATTCTGCTGATAATAGGGAGATAACTCCATTAAAATCTGTGTACTTCGGACTACTGTATAATTCGGACTTTTAAGTCGGTCCCAAGCTGGTCCGAATTAGACAGAGTGCACTGTACATATATTCTACCGTGGTATTGTAAAGGATATGTTACGAAGCCGTTCAGCCATGCGTTCATTCCATCTTTTATTCCTTCGTTCATCGTCTCGGATGAAATTATCAGAAAATATAGAGTATTTTGCAAAGCAATTCGTTCGTTCGTTCGTTCATCCATTCGTTCTTTCATCATGTATTCATTCGTTCGTCCAATCTGTCAATTCAGCCTGTGGAAATTACTTGGAGTATTTTTGCAAAGCAATTCTATTGTTCGTTAGTTAGTCCATCCCTTCGTCCGTCCATTCGTTCGTTCGTTCATACAGTCAATCAGTCAGTCAGTCAGTCAGTCAGTCATAATGTACCTGGATTTATCAGAGGTATCTTCTGGCTTAGTTTAAAGGATCTTTCCTGTACGATAGCCATACAATGAAGTTACATCGATTTTCCTTACCACTGTGACATAATAGGTTACCATGACGTCACAATCAAATAACTCACTAATCTCTCTGGAAAGTTATACGTATTACATCCAGAGCACACCAAACTGCTATTAACAAATGGGAAACGTTGGGAAAATGACCTTGAAGGATTTATATAATCGCACTTTCCGGTACTTGAATCTAGGAGTTTTCAACTTTTAGCGTAAACAATGTATTTCATCTGAAAAAACAACAGGGTGTCCGTAACGTGTGTTTAAAGCCCACGTGAACGTAATATGATGTTCTTACTTTTATCAATGCAACCACGCTATTTTGTCATTATCTTTCCAGTAATGAGACAAAACAAATGGTGTTATATAATTATGAATTCTTTTGGATAAGACATTCATAAACAATTGTGTTTATCTGTTGCCATGATCACAGCAGTGAATAATTGATGACAAAGAAAATGTATCATAACATGTTATTCACCATTGGTATATTTTTTTTTTTATTCAGAATGGCGTGAGCTGTTCAAAGCATAACACACAGCTTTAAAGCTTGATACATCAAATCATACGAATTGTTAATAATGTTAACGTGTTATGACATTCCATTGATGACGTCATAAATCGCAATGGTCGTCAAATGGGAATTAAATATTTATTTGTGTCATAAAATATTACGTTATGCTTTGACGATTTTACAAGTAATCTAATATTTTCGGCTGTTTGGTTTTATTAGCCATGGTTTTCTGCATGAGTTGTATACTCCCCAGGGAGTTGAGTTGGTTACAAAATGCCAGAAAGAAAATGTCCGTTGATCAAGGGAACACTCAAGCGCCTTGAACATGTACTAGTTGCGTGGATATGTGCGCTATATAGATATCCTATCATCATCATCATCATCATCATCATCATCATCATCATCATCATCATCATCATCATCATCATCATCATCATCATCATCACAGGAACTTAACGAACAAACAAACAATAAGTCAGCGACATCACGGCGGTTCACACTGTAAAGATGAACACTAAGAACACTGTAAAGATGAACACTAAGAACACTTTAAAGATGAACAATAAGAACAATGTAAAGATGAACAATAAAAACACTGTAAAGATGAACAATAAGAACAATGTAAAGATGAACATTAAGAACAATGTAAAGATGAACACTAAGAACTCTGTAAAGAAGAACAAAAAGAACAATATGAAGAGGAACGATAAGAACTAAACTTAAGTACAAAAGAAACGCTACAAACAAAAAAATTATAAAATATGAATTACTAAAAAAAATTTTTAGTTTCCAGGTACAGGAACTATATCACCCGAACACATCTTAGGTGTTTACAAACAAAAATTGGAACAGAATCCTTGCTTTGTACACTTCCAAACAAAAACATGAAATGCACGTTTTTAGTCATTAAAATACAATTTTCGTTCGACTGGGGTATAAATTCGATGCAGAAGGCAAGCACAGCATCATTGTCTCAAAACGACACCCAGAAGAATGCCGAGGATTGACAGCGCAGCAGCGAGAAAGAGCATTGGGAATATTGGAGATGGGCGCCACTCACGACCACGTCGCTCAAACCCTCGGATGTCACCGCGTAACAGTGTCCAGACTCGTCCAACGATATCGACAGACTGGCCAGACTACTGATAGACCCAGAACTGGCCGACCAGGGTTTACAACACACCACGCGAGGACCGGTACCTGCGCACATTGCACTTGCGCAACCGTTTCCTGACGGTGACGTCATCGGCGGCGTTGGCGTTAGGTCGTCGTGTCAGTCGACACACAGTGACCAGGCGGCTTAGAGCTTTTTGGCATCAGGGCTTACAGACCGTTCCGGGGACGGCGGCTGACCCAGGCACATCGACAGAGACGACTGGAGTGGGTACAGCGAGTACGACGATGGCAGCGACGTCAATGGCAGCAGAAGTGCTCTTTAGCGACGAGAGCAGATTTCTCTTGTACCAGAAAACGATGGCAGGGCACGGGTTTATCGTCGTACTGGGGAACGACAGGCCGCCTGTTGCGTTCAGGAGGTCGTTCCCTATGGAATGGAAGTGTGATGGTGTGGGGGAGGCATTTGTGGAGAACAAAGACGCCACTGGTCATCGTCAATGGCAACCTGACGGCTATACGGTATATCGATGACATTCTTCGCCCCACAGTACTGCCATTTATGCGCAATCGCCAACAGGGCATCCTGCTTCAGCATGACAATACAAGACCCCATGTGGCAAGAATTACACAGAACTTCCTTCAAGCAAACAACGTTAATGTTCTTCCGTGGCCAGCATGCTCCCCTGACATGTCACCAATCGAGCACTTGTGGGACGCTCTTGATCGTCGTGTTCGGCGCCGTCAACATCCCCAACAAACCATCAAGAACTCGCTGACACCCTCCAAGAAGAATGGCGGAACATTCCACCTGCTGACGTCAGACGACTGACGTCATCAATGCGTAGAAGGGTCTATGCATGTCTTGAGGCGCGAGGAGGCCATACTCGCTACTAGAGTTCACCATAGTCATTGCTATAGACTTTTCTTTAGCAGAAGTTTATGTGTAAAAAAATGAAAATGAAATTGCTGAAGTGTCGTTAAAAGAATCCTCTGTAACATTGGTACCATATCGTTATTTATAATTGTTGACAATCATCAAAAACCTTTTTATGTCAGTCGTCTCAATAAACTTTATTGCATGTTTCTAGTGTTTGTGGTTTCTTCACAGGGTAATTTTGAAAAGTTGGTAGCGTTTCTTTTGTACTTGAGTTTATGTAATGATGAACACTAAGAACATTGTAAAGATGAACACTAAGAACACTGTAAAGATGAACAATAAGAACACTGTAAAGATGAACACTAAGAACAATGTAATGATGAACACTAAGAACTCTGTAAAGAAGAACAAAAAGAACGATGTGAAGAGGAACGATAAGAACAATGTAATGATGAACACTAAGAACACTGTAAAGATGAATAATAAGAACACAGTAAAGATGAACAAAAAGAAAACTGTAAAGATGAACAATAAGAACAATGTAAAGATGAACACTAAGAACACTGTAAAGATGAACACTAAGAACACTGTAAAGATGAACAATAAGAACACTGTAAAGATGAACACTAAGAAAAATGTAATGATGAACACTTAGAACTCTGTAAAGAAGAACAAAAAGAACACTGTAAAGATGAACAATA